CACACACACACACACACATATATATATATATATTTCTTAATGGCCAAACCTAAAACAGGTTCTTGATGTGATAAACCGCCACTTCCAAATCTGGACACTAGGTGGCGGAGTAGACCACGATGTTTCTTCTGATCAGCTTTTAACCATGATATCCCTTTTTGCTTTATTTTCCTCCAAATCAAGTTAATAAAAGTTGAAAATTTGCTGTTTTGATATGACATAAAATCACAAGCTTATACCAGAATAAGTCTTTTTATTGGAGCATTAGATTTACAGCCACATCTTTACAATACAAAACGTGAGTGAAGTGTAAATTACCGGACAGAATTTCCGACATAAATTGCAGTTTATACCAGTTTAGTGGCTTGGTTGTATTACAAAAAAGTGCTTTTGAAGAAACACTGTGGATTTGACTAACTTTTATTTACAAGGTTATGAAATTTCAAGATTAAAAAAACATTTTTATCTTACCTTGATTTTTTTTATATATGTATAAACAAACACAGTTGTAAAATGAACTGCAAGCTTTTCGCTTTAAATAAATGGCATAAGGTGTGCAATAGCAGCTGCTCAGTTAGAAATGTACACTGATAGACTGTTTAAAGGGTTGCTTGTTTTTCGAAACTAGTGCAAAATTGAAGAGCAAAAAGGCGTGGTTGTGTTTCGATGTGACCGTCACAGTTTTTGTCATTTTGCACCCTCATCCAGTTCAGCATTTAGGGGTTAGACTCCAGGGAGCGTGTCGCCTCTGGCTGCCGAGGAGGTGGAAATGCTGTTGTGCTGGATGGCCTGCAGGTGAGACTCGGGGTCTGCAGGGGTGGTGGGGCTTCCTCCTGGACTCACCCCTGCAGCTGGACACAGAGACATCTGTCAACGTCGCTCATAATGCTCGAATTGTGACACGAGCTTTGCCAGCAGTGATGAATAAAAAAAAACAAAAAACTACCGCAGTTTAGGTTAGATGAAAATATTGTTTTTTTGTTTTATTTTAACAATTGAATACTGTACACACTGGTATAAAAAAATCAAAAATAAAAGGCAGCAATAGAAATATATGAATTTAAGACAAGCTAATACTTCTTTCTGTTTTGTTCTCTTACAGCATAATATTCGTTAAAAAATTATTAAAATTATTACTTTAGGCTTTGTGGCGTGCATAACTGTTTCCTTTCTAAATATTATTACAAAAAATGGGGTGAAATATTCCTTTAGAGGGAGAGGTATGAGTGCAACTTCTTTGATTCGCTCTCCTGTGGAACAAAAGTGCATCGTTTATCCTTGGAGACTGCAGGATTAGAAGCAGATTAAGCCCTTTTTTTTTCCGGACACTSTTTAGGGCCTCAATGTGATTCGTTTGTGCTCTTATGAGGATCATTGTGACGATGAAGATGAAGATCTGGAGAAGCTGGTGAGCTTCCCAGACAGGGGTACAGGGTAAGGGGGTTCTACTCACTGGGGTACCCCTGTGCCTCTCGCTGCCGAGCGGTGACGGGACAATCCTTGTGGGTGAGCAGGATCTGCTTCAGCTGGCCGACCTCTGACCTCAGCGACGTCACCTCGTTCTGAGAACACACAGAACCTGAGTGATGGCTGTACGAAGGGTCGAGCGTTTGTAACGTTTGRGCTCAGCCTCACCTGGAGCTGCAGGTTCGTGTGCGTCAGCTCCTCGGCCTTCTTTTCCAGTGACGACACCCACAGCTTCCTCTTCTGGCGGCAGCGGGTGGCGGCAGCTCGGTTCCGCTCCAGGAACTTCTGCCTCCGTTCGTCGGGGTCGAGCTCTGTCGTCCTTCTGCGACGGTTGCCTCCGCCGCCGCTGCAGCTGCCACCGGCCTGCACCGCGTGCTGAGGGTGGGGTGGCTGGGAGGGCTGCATATGTTGYGCAACTGGTGATAACTGGCATGAAATAAATAAATAAATAAAATCAAATAAAGTCACCTCATTGTGCCTAAAGCCAATAAACACAATTAGAGATTCATCATTGAATCTAAAGCAAAGCACCTGTGGCGGTGCGGGTGGCGAGCTCTGCTGCAGGCGTGAGGGCGGGGACTGGTGACAGTGAGTGGGCGGGACGTTCCCTGAGTGGAGAAGCTGGTGGCCTCGGCTGCTTCCCCGGTGCTGTGGGGGCGGAGCATGACAACGCTGTTGATAAGTGAGGGGTGGAGCTGGAAGCTGCGGTTGCTGCTGCTGCTGGTGGTGATGATGGTGATGATGATGATGGGGATGTTGCTGTAGGGGAGGTGCATGAAGGCGCTGTGGCAGCATCATGGGATTCATGGACGCTGCTGGGTTGTTGATGTTGACCAGTCCTGGGTGTTGCTGCTGGTAATGATGGCTCATCGTCTGTTTGGCTCTCTGAATACAGAAAAATCTTTTTGACTTGATTCTTAACAGCTTGTTTCCTCATCAAGTTCAAACAAGAAATAAATGCAAAAAATCAAAGTGACAATATCGTGTTCGTCTGGTTCATCTGTATTAATCTGAACACCAATCATCAGACAGTTAGAGAYATTGTGTCTTATTGTTGCTTTAATAGTGTGAATGCTGAGTCAACATGTTGGGACATGTATCCTTTCCAATGATGACACCAGTTTATCCATGCTTGTTGCTAGCCTCTCCGATGATAACACAAATGAATAGTCTCCTTCTCATTTGCCAGCGCTGGCCTCTCAGTTACCTGTGCCAGTCTATCGTCAATCAGATCAACAGGTGGCTAAGGAATAGATATAGTCTCCTGCTACAAGGATGCAACAACCACTGGTCGCCAWATAGTCAAACCCTCAAACCCCACCATAGCTGATGATGGCCATGTTGATAATGATGATGATGACAAATACTAAGTCAGTATTTACTCCACTGTTTTCTTGTTTTTCAGTTTTCTGTATGTTTTGCTAACGCCTGCAGACTTTATGYTATTTTAACCATTCACATAAACATTCAGCTCATTCACAAGTTGAATTCTATTACCTTTTTTAAACTTTTGAAATATTTACATTTATTTACAAATATTTTCCCCATTTTTGGGATCTCTTCAGTTCCTTCAAAGACATTGTTATCTGTGAAAACTTCAACATACTTTTGGCTTCTTTTTTTTTACTTTCAGCTAGTTATTCTACTTTTAGTTACCCTTACACTACTTTTAGCAAAACCTTTGCTACATATAGCATAGTTACCATTTTACTACTTTTAAAAACCATTCTACTACTTATAGATACATTTCTGCAACTTTTAGTTATATTCTGYTACTTTCAGCAAGCCCCTTGCTACTTATACCATTCTGCTTCTCTTAGGTTTTAGTTACCATTAGGCTCCTTTTACCAAGCTTTTCGCAACATATAGCTTTTAGCTACAACTCTACTGGTAGCCATTTTGCTACTTTAGCAAGCCCTTTGCTACTTTTAGCTACAATTCTGCTACTTTTAGCTACCATTCTGCTAGTTTTAGCAAGCCCTTTGCTACTTTTAGATTTTAGCTACCATTCTGCTACTTTTAGCTACCATTCTGCTACTTATAGCAAGCCCTTTGCTACTTTTAGATTTTAGCTACCATTCTGCTACTTTTAGCTACCATTCTGCTACTTTTAGCAAGCCCTTTTCTACTTTTAGCTTTTAGCTGCGATTATGCTACTTTTAGCTACCATTCCGCTACTTTTAGCAAGCCCTTTTCTACTTTTAGCTTTTAGCTACCATTCTGCTACTTTTAGCTACCATTCTGCTACTTTTAGCAAGCCCTTTTCTACTTTTAGCTTTTAGCTACCATTCTGCTACTTTTAGCTACCATTCTCTACTTTTAGCTTTTAGCTACCATTCTGCT